CCCCCCCCCATCTACATTGCTCCACTCCTCCTTGCCAGAGGAAGGACACTTCTTGGAGTGATCGTATGCCAAACACAATACCAGGAAGTTTTGTCACTGATCTTAGTAAGTCTTCAGAAATGTCTCAGGAAAGTAGATATAGTGGAGGAGGCCATGTTCAGGGATGGTGGAAACATTCCTCAAGGTCATGTGCAATTCAGGAAGAGAAACAGGCTCTGAATCCAGGCTAACCCAGCTCGGAGGCAAGGGACTTTCTTACATCTATTTTTGGTTTCCTGAGTAGCCTTGCAGGGTTTATCCCTCAGGGTTCTACTCTATAGGAAGAGAGAGACTTCGGAGGGGTGGCTGAAAGTACAGCTAACTAAAGGTTCTCCCTAAGATCTTCCCTATGGGGTGCATCTTTATGTGAGACGTGGCTCTCTATCAAGCTAATGTCAGCCAGAGACTTCACAGGCAATGTGGGGTTTACTCTCTTGTCCCCTATAGCTCTGTGGCAAAAAGGTCCGGTGAATGAGGAGCGACAGAGAATGATGCCCAGGGTCGGGGCTCAGTCATTTGGGTGCACACTTGTTCTGGGCTTCTTGTCCTTTCAGAAGGCCATTCCTTCGTGCACAACGGCTGGAACTAGACGAAGCAGGTGGGCTCACAATTTTGGAAGTGGGAGCAGTAGGAGGTGCTGGTGGAGGGTGACAGGGTGACAGCTGGCTGAGTCACCTGACAGTGATTCAGCAGTTGTGTGATCAAGGACCAGATTTTCTTTTGTCCCCTGGGGCATCTTTGTTCTTCTGCTGGGTCTGCTCATGATGGCCAGATGGTCGCCCACAGCTATGAGGGACATACTGTCTGGTACAAATCCAGTGGGAAGGATACGCTTTCAACTGGTGGCTCTCTTTTTAGAAGAAAGAAAACCTCCCCTCGAAGCACCCTCGCCAAGTCCCACGGTCCCCAATTGAGTCATGTGCTTATCCTCAAGCCCGTCACTGGCTGTTGGGGAGAAATGACGTCACCTGAAGTGGCGTGGACCTGAGGAAAGCCAGGATGCACAGACAAAGTCCCATTTCCCAGGGAAGCCTCAGGCGTACTCCAGGTGAATAACCCAGTGCAGTGGGCGCACACGAGGGGCTTCCAAAAGTTCATGGAAAAATGGAATGTGCCACCAACTTTTTGCAGCCCCCGCTCATATAGCTAAGCAAACCATGTGCAGCCAATAATGCAGACTACCCAGTTGAACTTGAAGGCCAGAGAAATCACAGGTACGTTTAAAATATGAGTATGCTACAAGCAATATTGGATGGCCTGTATGGACCACTATTTTGGTTTTCTGAAATTCACATTCAACTGGGTGTCCTGTTTTCTTCGCCCAGAATAGAGGACAGTACAAAGGTTGAGCATAACACGGACCCAGGTTTAGAGACTGAATGTGCCCCTCACCAGTGATCATGAGCAAGTACTTTAACTTCGCTAGGTTTCACTGTATTGATCTTTAAAATGGGGTGATCCTGTAGTGATATCAGGAAGGTAGGGGGAAGGTGGTGAGAGGAGGGGGGAAGAAACCATGGGGAAATGGAGACAGTGGTCAGTGTAAGATATGAAAAGAATAATAATTGATAATTGATCAAGGGGGGAGGGTAAAAGGAGGAGCTGATACAAATGGCTCAAATAGAAAGTACATGTTTAGAAAATAATGATGGCAACATATGTACAAATATGCTTGGTACAATTGATGTATGGATTGTTATAAGAACTGTAAGAGCCCCCCAATAAAATGATCTTAAAACAATTAAAAATGGGGTGATGATGCCTACCTCACTGAGCTGCTATATAGATTAAACAAAATATAAGGAGCTGCTGCCCGTCTAATCCCATTCATTAGATAATAATGCAGGGCTTGACATATTGTCTGACACACACCATTTAATCGTCCATCCATTTTTATGTTACCATAGGCATAGTAGTTCTTCCGTAAATAGTTGTTTCTTTCTCCTACTCATTATTCTTGGGCAACGTCTTTGCCCCCATGGTGCATTTATTTTGTTGTAGTTTTCTGTTAATTGAGATTAGGCTTTGTGGGCAGGCAAGTGGGTGCTCTCCCAAAGTGAGAGGTGGGGGTGGAGGGGAGAGGAGAGGGCATTCCGTGCTGGAGCTGGCCCGATGCAGGCTGTGGAAACTCTGCAGAGTGGGCCAGAGGCAGTGCAGTTCCGCGGGAAGCCTGAGACCCATGGCTAATGCTTGCAAAACTTCCCCGATAGGGGTCTGGCAAATGTTCGGCAATAGCATGTATGACTGTAGGGATTCATAGGGAAGGAGGGCCCAGGATCCAGGACCGGATCTGGATCGGTGTCTACTTGACTCGTCTGAGCACGGTGGAGCGTACACTGGCCCAAGGAGGAAAGCAGGGCCAGAAGAAGTCTCTCCACACCTGCCCTGGGTGCGTTCCTGGTGGTTTGGACCCTAGGGTCCTCCGTGACCACATATGACTATCTCTTTCCAGGGTCCTGACCGCTGCGGGCAGGCCTTGCTGCACATTGGGATGAACATGATGGCCCTGCCTGGAGGTCGCCACCTGGACTCCATCCCCCAGCCTGGGCCGCGGTAAGTCCTACAGCTGGCTTTCGGGACCGAGCCCCACTGTCTGGCTTGACACTGCAGGCGGCCCTGTTGAATGCTCTGTGCACTGTCATGGGAGGAAGCCCAGGACAAGGCACCGAGGAGTCTACATTGACTTGGCAAGTATTGGTGGAACTAGGCAGTGGGGCGGAGTGATAGCAGGAACAGTATGGCCCCGAGGAGTTGCTGCTGAAGGTGGAAGCAAAGCACCGAGTACGAGGTACCATGTGCTGATACAGGGGACCCCAGAGAGGCACTTGTTCTGCCTGGGCCCACGGACTAGAGCACTGAGGGTTCTTGGGGTTGATGATGGCCTTCTCTGAGCTTCTTGGAGGCTGGCAATCCACTCTGAGGTTTTTTTCTCCTTCCTCAGAGCAGGAAGGAGGGAACTGAGCACAGAGCTGGTCCTCGGGCAGTGCGGAGTGGAGATGGGGGGACTCACTGAGCAGAAGGTATAGCTCAGACGATGAGATCAGAAACGGTTGAGAATTGTAACATGATGAAGCAATACAGGAACACCGGCGGATGCTGGCACAGATGAAGTGTGTGGAGAGGAGGTTGGCTCTGGAAGCCTGAGCTAGAGCCAGAGGTGGAAATCCAGACTGGCAGATCTATGGGGACCAACGATGCTGGCTTGCCCAGGAGTGTCCTGATTTCAGCCCTAAAAGCCCTGCGTCTCCAGAAGCTTCCCAGTCTTGGGAAGACTGGGGCACTGGGGCACTCTGCTATAGGCTCTGCTTAGGGAGGGACATTGCAGTCCCAGAGCTGCACATGCAGGTTGGTAGTGAGCTCCCATTACTGCGAGAATGCCAGAGGGGCTAGAAGATAGAGGTACTGGCCTACCTTTTAAACCATCCAGTTAGGCTCTTTCTTGTTGAGACACATTGATGGGGCCGCTTGGAGGAAGGAAAGAGCATCCACATTCCCCTTGTGAGGGTGTGAAATCATTGCTGTTGTGTATGCACACGCGTGTTCATTTTGCTTTGTTTGTAGAGTTTAGTTGTATATATCAGGCATGTCCCAGATATTTTAGTAATATTCTATCTTAAACCTGAGCAGTCAGAATGGAATTGAGGGCAATTGGTTTGTTTTTAAAATGTATGCATCATTCATTTCTCTACTGTTATTTTGGTGTTTAAAACATGTTTTCGAGTGTGCGTTCTTTTAGAAATATACACTATTATTAAATCTTTGTTAAAAGTCTCTGAGAACTGAGGCACCTCTGCATCAGCCCACTGCCCCAAGAGGTTATTATAAAGCGGTGAGGCTATGAGTACAGTTTGCGCATGGAACGGCCAGCTATGTGACCAGGAAGTCCTTGGGCAATCAAGCTGAGGACCATGGCTCATCCTGGTACCGAGTATTCTTCCAGGCATTGTCTCCAAGATCAAATGCACAGATGGGAGACTGCGTTGTCAGCCATGTAGCTTGCACGTTGCCTGGAATGGCTAGCGGCCTTTCATTAGATGAGCAAGTGTGGTCAGCCTTGATGCCTGCCTGCATCCCACTGTCTGCCAGTTGTGTTCCTGTGCCCAGTTCTTTTGATGGACCCCTTACAAGCTGTGTGGTCTTAGTGAACCTTTGAACCCCCTCATCTCTTTGGTTCCCGTAGGTATAAGATGAGGATAAGAATAGTAAAAATAATATTCAAGCCAAACTCACCACCATAGAGTCAATGCTGACACACAGTGGACCCTACAAGGACAGGGCAGAATTGCCCCTGTGAGTCTCTGAGACTGTAACTCTTTACAGGAGTAGAAAGCCCTATCTTTCTTCCGAGGGGCTGGTGGTAGCGAACCGCTGACCTTGCAGATCGCAATGGAAGGTGTAACAACTATGTCACCTGGTCTCCTTGTTGGGGGTGGTGGTGGTAACAACAGTCCCTAAAAAAGGCTGGTTTGGTGGTAGAATTCTTGCCTTGCACCCAGGGGCCTGGGTCTGATTCCTGGCCAATGCACCTCACACACACTGGCCTGGCAGCGGCAGCTGACGTCCTGCTATGGTTCTGCAGAGGCTTCCGCACAGCTTTCAGACCAACATGGAAAGAACGCCTGATGATCTGCTCCCGAAAAGCATCCAGTGAAAACCTTAGGGGTCCTAGCCCTTTGATCCACAATGGGTCATGGGACTGGCTCGAGAGCAGGCCACAGCTTGTTCCATTGTTCGTCAGGCTGCTAGCTTCAGGCACCTACAAGAAGATACCTCCCAACAGGACTAGTGCCGCCGTCATACAGTTGATCCGTGGATTGGCTGAGCTAATGCATGCAAAGCCCTTCGGACAGTGTCAGTCATAAGGGGGACACAAGGGGAGGGAGGGTCTGCTCCAGGTCAGGGCCTGATGGAGCTTCTTCCAGAGACACCCTCTCCTTCCAGAGGAATGTGCATAGCTGCTTAACTGTGAACCCAGGAGCTAGATGACTGTTCTCAATCGACTCTTTCCCGCCTGCCCTGTCCTGCCCGTGTAGCAAGTTGGAAACGAGTAGCTCTGGCCACAGAGCTCTGGGTCCCTTCCACAGCCGGTGCTGGGGTGGGGAGGTCACCCTTCCGGGGCAGTTGATTTCCATAGTCAGGAGCCCAGCTACTTCTATTATTTCTGGACTCTGCTCCTTACTAACGGGAAGCTTGTCTTCAGTTTCATCATCTATCATATGGGGATGTTTATATTTACAGCACTGCTTTGTTATGCATAGAAATGGCTCCATGCATATGAACATCTCGGGATTTGTTTTGTTTGCAGATGAGAAATAGGTTCCCTGAGTAGAAAATGCAGAGGGCCAGATCCTGGCCCTTTTTCTAGGGGTCCCGAGAGCCTCGCTCTCTCTCACTTACACTTCCAACCCTTTTAGAATTTTAAGGGCAAAGGCCATGAAGTTACATGAAAGTGATTTAGGAGCTAAAGCATCGTTTTCTTGAAGGTGGGGGGCATGTGTAAGGATTTTGGAGAGTAAACACCTAGAGAAGGAAACCAGCCTTGACCAGCCTGATGCCAAGTGCGCTCACCCACTGCCCTTGAGTTGAAGCCGATTCATAGAAGCCCTCTAGGGCAGGCTGGGACTGCCCCCATTCTGAGATGGTAACTCCTGATGGGAATAGAAAGTCCCGTCTTTCTCCGGCAGAAAGGATGCTGGTTTCGAACCGCTGACACTGCTGCTAGCAGCCCAACTACACCCAAGTGCTCTGGCTGGCTCTGCGGGTGTGGCTCTGTATTGCCATGTGGGTAACATAGGATCTCTTTAGCCTCGACATTCCAATAGGGCAGCAGGGACAGTGGAGAGCGTGGTTTCTCCTTTAAGAGAGGGACAGCCTGGCCTAGTCAGGCCCATCCAGCTCATTTGAGCAATCCAATCGCAGGGCCTTCTAGCCTGCTCATTGTGTATGTTCTGGGGCAAGTGCCTGGGCCGTGCTCTCAAAGAAGGGGTGTGCACACATGCTTAGGGGATGTCATAGAGGTAGGTCTACTCACTCTGAGGCTTGCAGCCACTCTTCGCTCCTCTTCCGAGCAGCAGGAGCCTCTCTTCCAGGGGACACCACCGGGGTTATTGTCCCTGGATAAATGGTGAGGGATGGATCATGGGAGTTTTCCTGTCCGGTTCCACCAAAACGCATTTCCCTCTGCAGTGTCATTGTTCACCTCAAGCACTCCCTCCCACCGACCCCGCCAGACTGGGAGGTGGTCGCTCAGCTGAATCGTGTGGATTAGGCCATGGGTATTTGAGGCAAACAAGGGTGGAGGGCAGCTTCTTGGCAGAGGCAAGAGGGGAGAAGGGAGAGGGCAGCAGGGCGGGCTCCCACGTTGAATTGGCAGAGGCAATGGAGGGCGGTTAGACAGGGGTCTCCACTCTGATTGCCTCGGAGTCTCCTGGGAAGCTTTCACATTTCAAAGGCGAATGAAATAAACAAGTCAAGAGGAAAGCCCCGCATTTCTACTTTTAGCATCTTTCATGTGGCCTGGAAGACGGAAAGCATAGAGACTGGGAATCACATTTGGGCGCCAATCCCAGCTCCACTTCTCGCCAGCTGTGGGACCTTGAGTGGCTGCTTAACCTGCCTGAGCCACGCTTTGGTCTGCCTTCACGTGCGGACAATCCCAGCTGCTTGAAAGCATCATCTGAGTACTTCAGTGGCTCTGGTGGCATAGCGCTTATGCGTTGGGCTGTGGTCTGCATGGTTGGAAGTTTGAATCCACCAGCAGCTCCTTGGGAGACAGACTGGGCTTTCTACTCCTGTAAACAGTTACAGACTCAGAAACGCACAGAGTGTCACTGCACGTCAGCATTGACTCCCTGGAATGAGTTTGGCTTTGGGATGAGGACTCCCGGAAGGAAGGTCTCTCCCAGTTCCCAGGGTGCTTTCCTGTGCACTATCCAGACTTCCTTAAGTCGTCCTAGAGGCCACTCCCTCAGTAGTGGAAACACTTGCAAGTCCAAGTCCTGGAAAGGCTCAAAGGTTTATTCGTGGGAGTGCATCGGGCAGGAGATGACTTCTCTAGAAACGCTGGCTGCTATGGCTCAGGCTGTTCTTCATTCCGCCGTCTCTGGCCTCCCACCGTGGACTCTGTGTTTATTCACCTGATGCCGCTGGGCTTGGTGGTAGCAGTGCCTAGACCCAATGTGGTGGTCAGCACGGAGGTCAGCATGTTGCCCCACTCGGCATGCGCCCAGACACGTCCTCTTTTCCATCACGGCCATGCTTTTTTCAGGGATCCTGATGGCCCAGTCTCTGGGGTAGGTTCCAAGGGAGTGGCTTGGAGGCTGGTCTGAGGGTCACGCAGAGACTGTGCCCAGATGTCCCACTCACTCCTTCTTTCTACTACTTCGTCGATCAGTCCAGCTGGGACACGTTGACTCCTTCCTTCCAGGTTCCTGCTGGAGCAGGTCAAAGTGTGTGTGTGTGGATGTGGGTGGGTGGGAGTATTCTTTAAAGAATTGTCCCGTAACAAAGTTAGCACTTGCTATAAGCTAGGAGCTCTTTTACCCAGCAACTCA